TATCCAGTTCATGTGACTTAGGCAGACAGCATCAGAAACACAAAATGCAAATTTAATCAAGTTGAACCCTTATCACCACAATCCTCTGAACATAAGTGGGCCTGAACCTGATTTGCCTGTAGTCCAGGAAAACGAAAACAGATGCAATCAGATTTATGACGTGACTAACAGAAACGTATTTAAGGTTTATTAAATCACATGGATTTTATCCAGATATGAGACACTTACAATCTGCTGTGCATAAGTGCCCTGTGATGGACTGGCACCCTGTTTGTGCCTGACCTCTCCCCCAGTACTTGCTGAAAGGCTAAACTGTACAGAAAAAAGACAAAGAAACAAATTCATCAGTAAACAGAATATTTTTTTATCACAAAATAACAAAACCAAACACAAGCCTTTATTTTCCTTCAGCAGGATTCCTTTTCCTCAAACACATTCACTGTGCTGTTGCCCAGATCATCCACTAAGACATTTGGGAGAAAACATCCGACTACAAATATGAGATAAAACAGATTAGACCACTAAAGGAAAGGAAATCTTAAATGTATTAATAGATAACGTCATTATCTTAGTAGTCATTTAATAAGGTGACATCATTTGAGCTGCATCTTATGATTTATTTCCAGTCAAGTTTTGTCCTCTGCTGTTGCCCTGGAGGATCTCCAGAGCAGAGGTGTGAGGGCCGAAGCTGCTGCCGTGTCCTACACCTGGGCGTTATATTTGCCACCACTGTTAGAGTCTGCCTTTGTTACTTTTAATAGCTGTGACGGTCTCACAGAATCCCACAAGGCTAGATGGCACTCTGCTCAGGGAAATTCATGTATTCTGCCCCGCGCTCCGTAATATATGGCTGATGTCTCCGGTGCAAATTAAGCATTTTACAGGACGTCTATTAGCATTTCCTGTTTTATCACTAGTGAGTGGCTGATCATGCATCAGCCTGGCAACGAGTGGATGAAGATCACTGCCAGCTCCGTGATTTGTTTGCCTTGCCATGTAGCCTGAAAGTATCAGCATATATTTAGATTTCTAAATGCCCTGCTAACATAGCTTAGCAGATGTTGGGGAATCATATGGATGTTGGTGTAACAGAGACCCCCTCAGGTATTCTCATTATTCTACTACTGAGCAGATGGCAGGGAAACTTACCACACTTACTATTATCCATCATACATATTCTGCTCCCAATTTACATAGCTGCTGCTTCACAAGAGCTCCTACAGGGAGAGTACCTAGCTCCAGGATTGCACTGCAGCTCCACCTGAGGCTTAGGGAGACAGTCTGAGATGTCACTGCCACTACGCCTCAAACTCAAATATGCTAATGGTTGTACAGAGGAATTCCAATGGGTGCATTCCAGTTGTATATTTTGGATTGCGAGGGAGAGAAATATGCAGCTTGATGATTTTTAAATAGTTTAATATCATTCAGGAGATGTTTTTACTATGAAACAGCCCTAATAAGATGGTAAAATAGTGGCTTTTGCTGCATCTGAGAGCGTTTGCGTGTCACTTACCAGGTTCTCAAGTCTCCAACCCGATGCATTTGCATGTGCAGGCGTTTGGGAAATAAATTAAAATTCCTGTAAAGTTTCTTTCTGCAAGCCACGGCTCCTATAAACAAGAAACACCCAAAGCTGAATCTGTATCTGCGCCTCTCGCTGGTTTGTAGAAGATCAGCCTCGGTTTGAATGTGATGATGACATATATTTCAGAGCGCCAATCAGGATTTAGCAACATTTCAATCACACTGTCATAACATTTGTGACTAGCTGAGCGGAAATATTACCTGAGGATATTTTTTCGCAGCACTCATTGATGTTTATTTAGTCATGAATATTTAAAGGCACCCCATCACGTTTTGGATCGCTAGTAGCACAATGGTACAATGAAGTGGATTCCTGTTTTGTTTATTCTCATGCAGACGCACAAACACGCCGTATACACATACCCGTTCATGGTTTTACATTCTTTCACTGATCTACAGGTGCCAAGAAATGCAGCTCTGCAAGAACAAATGCAGGATAGACAAAGACTGCTAACAAGCAACCATGGACATAAACTATTTTTCAGGGTCAAAAAGTCGGTTTTTACAACAACCTCCTGGGCTGAAAAGGTGCAGTTCCTTTAATGTCCACTTGATGGTGGCTCTGAATGTTAGTGATTCCCCATAGACCCCCATGTTAAAATGTCCAACTTTACAGCAGAAACAAACATCTTTACAGCCTGGTACAAAAACGGTTTTGGTCTCTGTAGTTAGTTTCCCCTTTTGTGACCACTATACACAGGGCGAATTTTTATGTAACTCACACATTTCAATTGTATTATGGCTTAAATGTATTCATTATTGGAGGAGTCAGATACTGCCCATATGATAGCAGCTGGAGCCATCACACTGAGGCTGTCTTCTAAATCAGATTTTTTTTTTTTTTTTCTATCAGTGCGTACTCCAACAGTCCTTAAAAAGTAGGGACTGTTTCACGGCATTTGCATATAAAAAAAGGACATATTGCTTCAGCATGATCGTGCACTTTGACCTGTGACCCTTTTTGCAGTCAGTAGTGCAAAATGTTCAGTAAAATGATAAACTATTCTGTTTGGAGCCCAGACTTACATTGCTATGTGCCAAATGAGCTGCCAACTGTTCTGTCCCAGTGACTCAAGGATGTTTATACTCACGCTAGACAACGAGATGCATCTTCTGCTGCAAAGGATTATGGGTCAGAATGGCCAGAAAAGCATGCCAGCTTGCATACTGCAAAATGCGACAGGATGCTATAGAACATTTTGGTGCTTTTGCTAAGTTGCATTTGACATACTATGTATTGAGACATACTAAATCTTGTTTCTGGCATACTAATTAGCGTAGCAGTATGGCTATCGGAACACACTCTGAGTTTCAATGCCATTACTAAGGAAACCTATGTCCTTCTTTTTATGTAGCTCATGTTTAGAAGGAAGGAAATGCATTCTGCACATTCGTTAAGCCTCAAGGACGCACCATCCACTGTATATAAAGACAGATGAATCCTCCATGACGTCACCCATAGGTTTTCTGCAGATCAGTTTTCCGTCTTGATGGAGTGACTCCAGCCGTCACCATCTTGGCAGCGCCTGACTCCGCCAAACTCCCGGCTAGTTCAAAAATGAGTGGAGTTGAGGTGGGAAACAGAAGCATCTCTGGGACTCATCTTATGGACTGCTTCTCAAAGCAGCCACCCCCTAACTATGCACAACTTTAAGCTACAATACAGTTTAAACAAGTCAGTTATATAAAAGTTCATCCCCTGTACGGTTGTCATTAATAGTAAAATTAGCTAAAGAGACCAAAACTGTTTGTGTACCAGACTGTAAACATGTTTATTTTTGTGGTAAAGTTGAATATTATACCATGGAGGGAAGGACTTTCTTTTGAGGAAGCCTCTTGTGGAATTTGTGTATTAATACAACTCTTGTGTATTTTTGTGTTGGCTTCACTTCTCTGCCCCGGAGGTTGCTGCTTCATATAAACAGACATTTGGTTTGTTTATGTAAAAACTCCACAGGGAGGTCTTTAGTCTTCTAAGAATACTTTAAGTCCTTTCCTATGAAATGCGTTGGTAATTCCACGAAATACTTTTGTCGAACGATGCCAATGTTAAAACGTCGTTGGAGCCTTTATGTCAAGATGATGTTGGAGTCGGCGAAGGTGAAAACGCAGGTAGCATCCGCTCACAATGGAACACTGTGGCGCTCTTCAGTGTTTACATACGCTCCTCTTTAAGCGTGCTACATCCAGGCCAGTGATTTGCAGTGCACTGTTCATACTTTAGTTCCACACTGGAGCTTTTTTTTTTTTATAATAATTTTTTGCTCCTCCTCCTCCTCCTCCTCCTCTCTTCCCTCTGAATGGCTCTCAGTGGTGAAGGGGAGCAGCGGCAGTGAGGCAGCACTGGGCCTGAAGGGCACTTTTCAGCCTGGCCAAACACACTCGGGCCTTGCTGCTTGGCTGCGCAACATGGGTCACCGCCTTACATTAGGAGGACCCTGCCAAAGTCAGCCAAGCGGAGCCCTGCAACATACCTGAAAATGAATGAACAAAGTGCCTACTGCAACAAAACAAGCATGTCTGACTGCAGGACTCTGTTTATGATACCAAACATGAAATATTAATGACATCCGAAAGGTGTTTTTCATTACGTGTCTCATCGGCGGATGGACTTTTGGCGGCCGTAAATCTTGGCGCGCATTATCCAGCTAATATTTTTAACAAATGAGAAGGGCCCGGCCAATAGTTTTGATTGGTGCACCTTATCTTGGCACGGCTTGGAGATGAAATGGTCTCCCGTGGAGCCAGCGGGGGGCTCCGGCGGAGGTCAGAAGGACAGACTAAAGCAGACCTCTTGTCTCAGCCGCTGTTATTTATTTGGAGTTGGGGCTCCATCCATCACTTCACACTGTCTCCCTGCTTGTAAAGGCAGCAGCAGCCACCATCTCCCAGCTTCTCCTCTGCATCCCCACTCATACAGTCCAATGATCGACGTTTCATGAGAGGCACCTCAAGGTGGGGCTAAATGGTCTTACAGTATATTCCCAATCATGTCGCGTAGGCGGAGTCTGACTCTCATGCTCTCTGCTGTGTAGCCCAGCCTGCCCAGCCTGTACTGTACATGACAAAAGCAAGAGGATGGAGTGAGTGAAATAAATCCACACTTCCTATTTCTCACAGCCACTTTTTTTTTTTTTCCTTCTTCTTCATGCCTCCCTCCTCTGTAATTTGCCAGGCAGAAAGCAGGAGGAGGAGGAGGAGGAGGAGGAGGGGGGGTTTGGATCACTGCGCGACATTACAAGAAACGTGCATGTTAGTAGTAGAAAGCAGCGGCAGCAGCCTCTCTCTTTTTACGCACACCCTTCTCCAGTGAAGGCAGCAGCAGTTCAGATCAGATTTCACATTCAGCTCCGACCAGCTGAGAGAGAGAGACAGTCAGAGAGCAGGAGGGCTCGTTTCTCCGCTTTTCCCCCCTTTTTCTGAAATCCCCCTTTTCTTTTTTTTTTCTCCAAAAAAAAATAAAAAAATAAAAAACTGCTCGGCGAGAAAACGCGTGGAAACCCCCCCGGGTGCGCGGCGCAAATATCGGGATTTTTTTTTTTTTAGTTTTTTTTTTTTCCTCCCTTCCTTTTTTTTTTTCTTCTTCTTCTTTTATGTATTTTTGCAGGATTTCAGCAGCGAGAGCGCCACAGAGAATTAGATAAGAAGGGGGGAAGAGAAGCAGAGAGAGAGAGATGGACGAGCAGCCGAGGTTGATGCACTCTCACACGGGGGTAGGCATGGCAGGGCACCCCGGCCTGCCGCAGCATATGCAGGAAGGCACCGGAGGAACGGACGGCGACGGGAGGAAACAGGACATTGGAGACATTTTACAGCAAATTATGACCATCACGGATCAGAGTCTGGACGAAGCCCAAGCCAGGTAAAAAGGACGTGCGCCTGTTCGCTGTCAGGAGGAGAAGGAGGAGGAGGAGGAGGAGGCGGCAAACTGGGCTCCAATAGAAAATCAAATAAAAAGAAAATCGGGAAAAGATAAAAAAATTTCAAAAAAAACGCACGAGAAAATATACATACGCGTGCTTGGAGGGGGGAAAAAAATAGAAAATGACACTGTGTACAGAGTGGATGTGACTGTAAATGCCTTGTGCCAAATCCGACCAAAAAAAAAAAAGAAGCTCCAATTAAAATAACTCGACAACCGCTCAAACAGAAAATTAAAGTGTAATATGAACATGGGGTTTATTGCCAACGTGAGGGTATTTTTTAAAACACTTCAAGTCAAGCTGCATTTATTGGAAAACACAGATGAAGCTCCTCATTTAGTCTAAAATAAGAAATTAGTGAGTAACAGACAGTCCAGACTGGCTCTCAAGTGGTTCTTTTGCAGCTTTCTTTTCTTTTCCTGCAAATTCAAAACAACTTTCTTGCATGTGAGACATAATTTAAGATTCCATCCATGTGAAGCTGAAGTTGCACACTTTAAAAAAAAAAAAGAAGCTTTGTTTTATTGTTGTGGCACAGCAGGTCAGATCAGAAACTATCATTTTAAAATATGAGGAAAATAAATAAAGCTGAATAAATTGAATCAGTGGAGCACATGTGGGGACATACAGGTGCTATGAGGAAATAGTTGTAATATTTTTTTTTTTTAATTATAATTTAAGTGTTGTATTTATCCTGAAAAAGGAGAACGATCACTAGCAGTAATTTGGAAACTCTGTTTTGTCCTTTTGCTCATGAAGCCACTTTTTTTTTTTTTTTTATTCTGTTTCAGGAAACACGCTCTCAACTGTCACAGAATGAAGCCAGCTCTTTTCAATGTCTTGTGTGAAATCAAAGAAAAAACAGGTACGTTCTTACTTGTTCTGCGCCCTGAATCCACAACCTCAGAGTACCGATCTGTCGTTGCCTCCAACTGTCCTGACCCAGGCCAAAGGAATACAATAGTACAAAAAAAAAAAACAACCTCAGAGGCTCAGGACCTGCTGTCTGAGAGTGTGTGTTAGAGTGTGTGTGTGTGTGTGTCGGCGTGTATTTTATCATCAATCATTGCTATTCAGCCTCAAATTCACACTGGTGAACCTGATGTTGGATATTCAGTCACAACACAATTCGCCATATAAATTTCAGTGACATGTACGACGTGTGTTTCCTCCTGTCTGCGTGTTTTAGCAGTTTCACAATAGAAAACTGTGGACAATTACTTCCAACAGTCCTTATCAATTATTGTGTCAAAATATGAATGAGGGCCTCTTTTTTTTTTGATGCTATTGTGGAATAATAGAGAGTATTGAGCAAAAATTGTCACAAGCACGTTGATGTCTCCCCTTGTGAGTTAACTGTCAAGTCTGGTGAATACGTCTCTTTCTATTATGTATTGTGTCTCTCTATTAAAGCAGTTGTGAGAGAGCATGTCAGCAGAATAATTGCTAGGAGAGAAATAACGTAACATAGGAGGCGTAAGTCATGTTTCCAAATCATTTTCCTCGTGACATTTTTGAAATTGGCACAGATAGAACCCAGTGCACTTCAGACTGATAGCGTGCATCTCGTCCTTTATTTGCCTGTCTTTATGTGCCATAGGACTCTTCAAAACTTACAACTGTTTTGAGATATTGAGTTGCCAAAGCATGCCGGTTTTACTGCGAGAGCCGGCGCGTTCTGTGTGTTTCACACTCATTAGTGCATGAAATCAAATGGAATGGGTGGCGGATGAAGACGATATTGTTTTCATTGTCTCCAAAGTTGCACTTGCTCATACTTGACCTTTGTGGCGGCGGCGGCGACTGTTTATTCCTCGTGTGTGTGATCCCACCCTTCGCCTGGTGCTTTCATGGATGTTTTCATTGAGGTTTTCATTGAAGTTCACCTCGCTGCCTAAACCCCCACCACCACCACCCAGCCCTCCCCTCCCCTGCAACAAGCCTGGCAGTTTATCTTGAATCGGCCACTGCCTCAGGAGAGAGCAGGGGGGCCTTTTGAAGCCTGCTGGCTCGCTCCTCTTTTTGTTGTCTTGGTAGGTTTTTTCGGAGGGGGAGTGACACAGTTATGCATAGTGTTTTACTCCCTGGCGCTTCACGGAGTTCATCCAAAGTTCGGCTCTGCTGAGAGTACAAAGTAACTTGGACCTCTTCCTGCCTGCACACCCTTTTTCTTTTCTCTTTCAGCTGGTAACCTATAAATACGAGGTGCAGCTTGTGGAGCTCTACGCAGGAGATCTGCTGCTTGTCATGTTGTTGCACATTTTCATTTTATCCAGGTAGCTTTGTTCCAGTTTTAGTGGGAAACATTTAGTAGAATTAATGCTGCGGATTGATTTTTTTTTTAACAGTTTGAATTTGCTAATTTGTTCTCAAACTTTTTGGTGTTTATAGTCTCAATCCTACAGACTGTTGCTCTGTCGTCACCATCACTCCACTGAGTTTTAGCAGTGCAGTGAGAGTCAGTGTAAATTAAGTAAAGAGTGTGAGGATGATCAGTTTCTTACCATATAACAATAAAAACATACACATGATTAAAATAGGAAAATAAATATTATTCCACCTCATTAAATACAGAATACATAACTCGGGCTTAGAATAATTATTTTGCAGTGCAGGTTTTGACACAACTTGTTTACTGTCAGTTTGACCTTATGTGAGTGAAAGACGGAAGTTTTTGAATTTTAGTTGTTTTGTAAAAGTCGCAGCTTGTTGCTCCATCTAGTGGCTCACTCTCCTTTTCAAGTGGATTAAAACAAAGCGACTTATTTATGAATAATTTTCAAATTTCTCACTTTAGATTTTTTAATATTTATTTACGAAAACTTGATTTTTGTTCCGCTAACCTGGGAAAAGTATTTGACTCTTTTGTCACAGAGCCGGTGTTGTTGTGTTTGCAGTGAAAAAAAAAAAAGAAGTATAAATTTAGCACTTTATTGCTCAGTTATTTTTCTTCTTGTTTGCTCGTGAGTTTTACTTTTGTCATTTTCACTTCTAAAATTAGCACTAAATCAACCCAAGGCGACTTTAAATATTTGAAAGCGTATCCTCCGGTGACTCCTCCGAGCTGCAGCTGAGCCGCTTTAACTTTTTGTCCCCACAACCATCGAGAGTGCAGAGAGACAGTGTGTAGCCACAGATCTGCTGTTTGCTCGTTGTATATTTTCCATCCCTGGCCGTCCCCGGAGCAGCTGACAGCACCTGCAGGACACAATGCCAGCGCTGATCTAGGGCCTGAACTTGTGACCCGCTCTGTGTATTTTTACTGGGATGAAGTGAGCGATGGCCAACAGAAATATTGTGCAGTATAAACAAGCACAATAGTGCAGCAACAGCCGGGAGGAAAGGAGAAAGGAAGGAACACTTTATTTAAACCAATGGCTTTTTTTTGTTTTGTTTTTGTTCCTTTTTTTTTTTTTTTTTTTGACAGACATCGGCTCTGTCTTTACCCAGTTTCATTCCAGGCATATTTGGGCCGTCTATTTTACTTCAAAGGAATGCTGTTTTTCAGACGCTGCGCATAAGTGTGTGTGTGTGTGTGTGTGTGTGTGTGGCATAATGCATTCCTAAGAGGAGACAAAGCATGAAATATATAAAGCATATTAATTATAAGACTGTATGTGTCCAAAAAATGTGGAGCAAAGGTAAAAGCAGCAGGGTTTCGTCTGTGTTAGCGTTCATCCTAGCAACGGCGGTGTGCTCGTGTTAGTGTTCTCACAGAGACTTTCCAAAAATATATCCAACAGTGTGACTCCGCTGCTATTGGGCCATGAAACCTTAACCTCTCACTAACTGAATTCTTAAAGTTAACAGGCTGGTAAATATAGAGATGTCAAATAATCTCTCTATCTTAGTTACAGATATTTTTAAGGTGGGCTGTTTTGTCTGGGTCTTCAGCGTCACTTTTTTTTTTTTTCCATGATTGATGAAAACGCCTCTTTAGATAAGCAAATGCTTGACAAACTGATTTGGAAAATGAGCCGCCTTGACCTCTGTAAACACTTCATCAACATCATAAATCTCTGGCACTGTCAAACAAAACCACTCCTTGACTGAGCTGCTCAGTAAATGTGCTGCTCTGACTTGCTGTTTAATTTTTTTCCTCTCAACCTCAACAAAAGGCCAGCTTTCTCGTGGCCCGTGTTTGTGTAGTGTAAGGTTTCAAGCCTAGGGGATCCTCCATTTATAAAAATGACTAGCCGAGTGATGTAATGTTATTTTTTGAAGGGTGAAAATAGGGTGTTTTACAGAGGGCAGCCGAGCAGTGTTTGACAGGATGAAATGAGCCAGAGGTCTGATTATGGAAGGTGCATGGAAGCCCACACTACATTGACTTGCTTGGCATCTGCCTATTTGTAATACAGAGGCTGAAGTCAGCGCAGCGCCGCACGTCACTGTAAAAACACTTTGAAGCAGCCTTCAAGGTGATCCGGTGTGATGTAATCTTTAAAATGTGAAACAGCCGCGTGCAGCGATAAAAATGTTGGTCAATTTACTCGTAAGATGATTGATGGCAAATGGATCGCAGACAATTTTGATAAATCATTTTCGAAGCAAAAAAAAAAAGCCAAATATTCTCTTTTCCGGCACAACCAGGGCTGCAGCTAATGATTGTTTCCATTATTGATTAACCCGTTGACTTCTTTTTCGACTGATTGATTAGTTGTTTTTCGGTAAAAAGGTGCTAAAACATCCATCATTGTTGCCTAAATCACAAGCCGATGTCCTCGAATGTCTTGTTTTGTCCACAACCCAAAGAGATTCAGAAGAAAGGAACCAAAAAATAATCCGAGAATTTTTACTCAAACCAATTATCAAAATATTTAATAATTAGTTTTGTAGTTGACGACTAATTGATTAGTCGATTGATTCTTGCAGCTCTCATCTCCAGTGTGAGGTTTTGTTTACTTTCTTTTTAGTTTAAATCTGTAAACTTGATCTCTGCCGCTGAAATAAGTTTTACAGTTGTTGAAACTAGATTATTTTGTCGATTAATCAAATCATTTGGTTGAAAAATGTCTTGTTTTGTCCATCCAACAATCCAAAACCCAATAATTTTAACATTTTCTGTCATGTAATACAAAGAAAAGGAGCAAATTCATCCATTATTTTAAAAAAAACATCACTTTTGTGGAAAGTTGTGATCAACAGTCAGTATTTTTGCACTGAGAAAAATATCCTCAAATACAAGACCATACAATTAAACACATTAATCAACTAGCAAAACTTTTGCTTTTGTCCACATGCCAGTTAAATCAGTTGGTAATAATAACTCCGGCTCAGCACTAACGTGGCGACACACAGCAGAAGGTTACACTCTCAGGTTAGCTAACGGCTGCAGAGAGCCACATTAGCGCAGCTGTAAAAACATTTGTTGCATGTTGGGAGTCAGCGCGAGCTTAAAACCAGCAGGTAGTAACAGCGCCCGTCGCCTCCCGTGCACTGTATTACATGGCGGCGTTGGATGTCACGGGGCCGTGCCTCCCCTCTCGTGATCGTCTCTCGGTGGACAGCGATACGTGCAGCTTTTGTCTTCCTCTTATCCTTCCTCCCCCGTGCTGATACAGCAGCATTGAGGGGGAGAGAAATGCCAAGCTCGCCGCCACAGCTGTTTCCCCAATCTCTCTGCTTAATCATCCACTGAGAGAGAGGAAGAGCTGGAGTCTAATTCTGCTCCGAGGATGTCGACAACTGGGGGGAAAATGTGTTGTGATTAACCAGCATACGGACTTTTCTGCTCTGTATTTGATGCAGAATCATAATCACAGAATCATCAGTGAGTGACAGCATTGTAAATGGCGAGTTAATACCATTACAGTATAGAACAATGTGGTTACATTATACATTATGCAAATTGTCAGTCGCCTA